GAGGTCGATTGTGTCATGGGTGAAGATTATTTTCAGCACTGATTTCTGAGGAGTGCCCTTTGTGTCCTCGTTTCACCAACTACTGCGTCACAAATGTCCTCTTTTTCTTTAAGATGTCGTCAAAGCCTCTAGGTCCGACGCGGAGACGAAGGAATGTCCAAAATCCTGCAATTATTAGACAATGGCTTATAGCTCTGCAAATGGCACCGCAGAGTAGAAAGAGATGAGGTAACGGCAGGAGGGGTGGGGGGTCGAGGTAAAGAGGAGCCAATCATGCATCTCAGAACCACAGGGCTTAGAAGCTTAGAATAAATCCCCGTGGTCAGGAGGACTTAGCTAATTGTAGTGTGAGTGAGAGCGTTCTTTATAAAGCTGTCACGTTTATGTTTTCTTCTCCTTCTTTCTTTCTTTTTTCTTCTTTTCCTCCTCCCTAGTTCTTCTTCTATTTCCTTCTTCTTCTTCAGAACAGTTCTTCAAACGCACATTGCGACGGATGTGTTTTATCATTATTTATATGGTCGTGTTTCTTGGCAAAACAACGATATACCCTTCGCATAGTATCAGGCAATCTTTTACAGCTTTTTAAAATAATGGAATCTCATTCTTGTGGATTCTGACCAGCGGTTCTTCCATCTTTCATTCTACTGACATGATCGTTCACTATCTTTTTCCAGGTACCGTATCCATTCTCATAATAATAGTGATACATTCATTTGTATAGCGCAAATTCCTGCTCAACTGCGAGTTTTAAGCGCTTTACAATTTAAATTATTATAATTACCCCAGCAGATCTGATACCATTCTAAAACAATCTCAACTTTCTGGAAAGCGGGTGGTTGGCGGGTGCTCTGCTTCTTCTTTCTAATCAAACATGATCTATTGTCTTTATCTCCCCTTGTTCTTTTTTATGTTTGTTACTCTCTTGTAACACCTCTAATCTTCTGCCACTCATATGACCTTATGCAGTTGCGAGCGCCGTAAAACTTCTACTAAAACTAAAAACTTTCTGGAAAGCATGCGGTGTAAACTGCCATTTCATAGGCGCTAAAACACAAACATAACATAGTGGCAAGATCTTTCATCGACATATAAGGAAAAAGCAGTTTACTTTCTTGACGGGAATACGTGTTGTGCAAATGCAGTCTACAGTCGAACTTGCCCTAATTAGCCTACTTACCCTTCACTTCCCAGTTTGTTATGCGCTTCTTTTTTTTTTAGTAGTCTATAAATTTTGGTCCACGAGATTGATTACGATTTGTTCCTTCTAAATAATTTTAACCCCCCCC